CACCACAATCAAATCTCAATTTTCAGCAAATCTTTTTGCTGTCGCGAAAATAATGTAATAAATACATGTGGTCAAGCCTTACATTCTAATGGTTTTCAATAATCTCTCACTCACTCAGTCGCCCAGACACACAGTCTCTCTTTCTATCTTACATACATTCTGTTTTCTTCATTGTCATTTGGCAATGTCATAGTATGGATATTAGAATTAATGTATAATCGACAAATAATCGAAATAATCGAAAATAATCGAAATAATCGAAAATAATCGCAATAATCGAAAAAGAATCAATAACAATTATTAAATAATAGAAAGGTAATTTTTAAGTGAATTGCCCCTAGCATCTACCCCACTCGTACATTCGGTGTTTCTCGAATTGATGGTCGATTCGTTGGCAGAACTTGTCGGTACCGTGAGCAAATCGATGTCACCTTCCACTTCTGGCTCTTCTTTGACGGTCACTTCCAGCTTTATTTCATGTGGTTCCAACAATACCCCATTGTCTTCTGTTGAATTGTCGTGATCCTTTGGCTTGTTGTCGCTATGCAACTCATTTGCACTGAACCCATTCATGGTTACCAAATCTGACAATAATAAAATTGGAATTTAATCTTGATATTGATCCCAACTGAAATCCAGACACATCATTTTCAAATTAAATCAAATTTCCTTACCTACTTTCTGGCAGTCGGAGTAAATGTCTCTAGACACACCAATATTTGCTTTTGAGGTTATGCAATCCGTACGATTTCTTATTTGTAGTGAGAAAATTGCTCCAAAAACAAGACAAATCCAATTTGATTTTTGTTTAATTTTCTTTATTACGAGCTACCAAAAGGTGTTCAACACCAAAACAATCGGGATGGTTCTTAGTTTTTGTAGATTTTTCGATTTTCTATCTTAAATTGTGTGTAAGAATGTTGTGTTCAACACTTGCTATCTGCCTTCTTTCTGGTCCCTCGCACAGATTGAATGATGTAGCTTGTCAGTTTGAGTTACGTTTGCAAAGCGTTGGGGGCGCTTACGTTAAGAGAATGCTACCAGTGGTCATGACAAAGCGCCAAATTATGAAAATATTGAGCGAACATTTCAAATTCAATTAAAATAGTTGTTTTGTGTTTTTAAAAATGCAATTATTTTGTAGTCATAAATATCAACCAGATTCAATTTAATCATCGTCCAGAGCAAATATCGACACGATCATTTATACGCCACACATATATGGCATATATCCACTTGATTCAATTAGTTTAATATGAAAATTTATACCAAGCAACTCGATTTCAAATCAATTTGAATTATTTTTTTAACTTTTAATATTTTGATGCTCACTGAAGAGGAGCTCCCCTCTCTCCTTACATTTATGGCTCTCAGAAAAAGTTTCTGATATCGCCTCGAAATACGATTTTAGATTCAATTTTACATATGTTATCGTGGTGTTTGTGTCATCGGAAATGCCTCTCGCTCATTGAATCGATTGTTACGGTCTGGCAATTTGTGGCCGGTTTGCTTCGAGTTTTTTGGCATTTCAGTAATTCAGAGCATTACTAAGCTAATTTTTCACTCCACACTGCGTTTGAAGTTCGAACTTTAAGCTGGAGAATTCGGAAATTAAAAGAACGGGCCATCGCTCCAACTCGCGTAATTAATGTTATTCCACATGGTGATGAACGAAGTGACGTGATTATGTGAAAAGCAAATAGACAGCATTCAAGCTGGGTGAGTTAATAATTCAATGATAGTATCTCAATCATAATAAACACACAATGCACACAGATTCATATAATTGTTTACAGAATTTAACGCTTAAACACATGTTGTTAATGTTTGCAAATAAAAATGAGGTCAAAGCGATTTGAATAATTTTTCAAATTCCATATTTGAATACACATGTTTAAAATGGCCTTGAACGTCGACTTTTTTTGGTTTAAAAAAAAGAGTATTTATGGTCTTCGTTAGCACGAACGTGAGTACGGTCGTAACTTTTTAATTCAAATTTTGGTGTAATAGAGAACAGTGTAATTTATTGTTCACTTACAGCGACTTACACGATTTGTCTTCTAATTTGAGTTAATTGAAGAAACCAAGCATTTGGAATGCACCATCGACACCTCATGAAAATGAAAGAGTAATTTTTTCAATTGACATTATGTATTATATATATTTTTTTAAATTTAAAATATCGTCTAAATAATTTCTATTTTAATCACAAAAATCTCTCTTCTAATTTAACTAGCATGCTTGGCTATATTTGGAAGGAAAAAACGCTGCACAAAACGTAAATGCTCATTTCTTAATGTTAATATCAAAAATGCTTCGTTTATTGTCTGAGAAATGCAGCTCTATTTCTTCTAATGTTCGATTCTCAGTTTCTGGTATCATGAAGATCATCAGAATAAACCTGAAATCGACAAAAAAATGTAAAAAATATTCGTTTTCCAAGGAAAATTGATCAAAATATCGATGGTTAAAACCAAAATGACATACCCTAAAACGGCAATAACACCATAAAAGCCAATAACTCCCGGCAGCGACAGCCATCTCTCAAAATCGTAAAACGTTTTTGTCGCGACAAATGCAAACAGTTGATTTTCCATTCCAGTTAAGCTGCAGCAGAATGTCCGTGATCTGATATAAAAATGGTTGAAAATGACAAAATTTTGTAAAAAATAATTTCCTTCTCTCAAAACATGACATTTCACTCACTTGAATGGAAAAATTTCGCCTTGTAAAAAGTATGGAATTGATGAGACCCCAATAGAAATGCAAAATTGCATAATCAAAAACATGGCCAATGCAAAATAATTATAGACCCCGACTGACTCTCGTATCGATTCCAAGTCACTATCATTCGTCCCGACCGATGTCCAGCCACGAGGAAAGAATACCCATCCGTAAATGCCTGAAATTGATTTAAAATTTGAATATTCCCTTTTTTAAGCGATCAGGATTAAAAGGTCTGATTCATACTTAGTCCAAAGCAGCTAACAAAATTCCCGACCATTGAATAAAGGTAAATTCTTCGTTTTCCAATCGTTCGAACTGTAAGTGCGATGCAAATATTCGCCAAAATTCCCAAAACTCCTAGCATGACCGTGATAAAATTGGCCGAAAAAGCAATGCCATGTGCATTTAGGATGGGCACAATGTACGGTCGCATTGCAAACATTCCAGAAAATTGCATCAAAAGGAACAGAATTGAAATAATGGAAAATGGTTTCAACGTCCGTTTTCTGGTAATATCTTTCAATTTATCAAACAGTGTTGGTGGCGGATGGTTACATTTTTGACCCGATTTTTCGCAATTCACACATGATGCGGACAATTCACTTGCGCGTTTCAATTGATCAAGTTCGGGGGTGATCGTTTTACTTGATACCCATCCGCGTAGTACTTGCAATGATTTTTCAGCCTGGTCCGTTCGATGATTTGATACGAGAAAAATCGGCGACTCGGGGATATGTAGAAAAGAGAGACGTTTTTAAAAGATTAATGAAGAGAGGATTTGAGAAAGTGTGACTCCTAATTAATGAAAAAAACCTTTTAAAAATGCCATTTCTCACACTTACCAACATGGTCAGCAATATATTGAGAATGGGTACAATTGCACAAATATAAGACACCTGTCGCCATGAAAGGAAACTCCCTAGTAAAAATACCATAAAAATTCCAGTGGTTGCGGCTATTCCCGCCATTGCGCACATAACGCCTCTTATACTTGCTTCACTACAAATAATCGAATTACTTTGTATTCACTTGTCTTTAGTCAATTTTATCGCTTTTAAGAATTTACCATATTTCATTTAGATATATAGACAGTGAACTGGTCAATCCATTCCAAATGCCCAGCGATAAAAAACCGACGTAAATCATGAATTCAGATTGAACGTTCGGAAGTAAAATCCATGCAAACGCTGGCACAAAACTTGTCAAAAATGTTGCCCATTTTCTGCCCAACGAATCCGCAAAGAATGGCGACAATATACATCCAATGGGTTGAATAATAAACATCAGACTCGCTGCAATTTTGTTCAACAATTATTCATAATGGCAAAAAAGTAAAACGAAAGTGAATCAACAGATTGATTCGCTGAGAAAAAAGTCGCAAGGGCCAAAACCGCACATTCCAATTTATGTCTCCGGGGACCTTCCGAGAAGAGATAGTTGAGAAGTGAAGCTTGAGATCTTGCGACAATCTCAAACTTCTTAAAAGAGTCTGCTCTTTTCAGTAAGTCGCTAAAGACGTAAATTCGGCGGAAGGCGGTTCCGACCATTTCAAACCAAACAGTTCAATTTTTCAAAAATGTTCAGTTCAATTTGGAAAAATGTTCATCATACCGAGCCAGCTAGCTTTTTCAGGTGTCATATGCAATGTTTCATCTGGATTCAATTCAGTACTTCTCCCAATTATCGACGGTACGACAATGGATGAGATCGCCAGCACTAGACCCATATTACATCCGTTTATATATTGCGAAAGACACGACAAAAACTATAAATGAAAAAGGCATTTGTGAACAGAGTCCAATTTTTTGTTTATATTAAAACAATAGCGGGGAAAGTAAAATCTTCAATACCTGTGGCAAAATTCGGCGAAATGTGCTGACTTTGTCGGGTCCCTTGGAAAAATCAAAGCCAAAGCCACCCGAAAACAGATTCAACGGTTTTATTAGCATCTTACCGAATTCTGAAAAAAAAAAAAAAAATGAAATTGATCTTATTAAAACTCATAAATCGCGTGAGAAAGGCACGATTTCATCAAAAAGCACGTTTCAGAAATTATTTCACCGCCGGATGTGTTGCTTTGAAATCAAAACCGTGACGGTGTTCACATACAGCAGTTGTTATATAGTTGCTTTTAAAGCCGAAACACACGTGCCCATTCATAAATTTCAATGAATAAAACTCAAACGAATTTCACATTCTGCAAACTGGTTTTTATCTATTTCAAGCTGCAATTTGTGCAAATATCGAGAGATGAGCGCAGTCAATATGATTGTATTGTGACGTCAATTATCTTACAGAAAAACGCCATCTGTGTAAAACAGGCTTACTACAATATAAAAGTATAGCGAGGGGAAGGAAATGAAGAAGAATGGTGTTATAAGTATCTGTCCAAATTGCACATGCCCTTCGGCAAATATTGACTTATTTATTATCAACTATCTAACTAATTTCTTCATTTTCTACGTTAACTGCATCTCGGTAGCATTTTGATAATATCAAATAATTAGAAATGATAAGATATCGAATTGAAGTGATCACTTCTAAATGTCAGAGAATTCAGTGCTTTATACAGTTGAAATCAAAATGTGAATTCTCTGTACAAAAACCAGTTTAAAGGCCGAATTTTAATAAACATTCATGTCACACACGTAGCTGCTTCAAGGTCATTGCAACTTAAGCGGCGTTTCTGTCAAATTCTCTACTTTGAACGATTTTTTGAATTTGTTTTCTAATACCAGCAGATCATTCAATGATTAATGGCCTTCATTCACTTTAAACTCAATTTCTATTTCAAAGAATAAGCTATCAAATTGAAAACTTTCAACAATAAATCATTGTTTGACAATTATTTTTGTGTCAAAAGTCTATTATTTCTCTGCTTCATTAGCGTTTTATAGAAAAAAAAAACTATTTCACAAATTCAGTTTGAATTCACAATGTACTCGACTTCATCAAATTTCCGGCACAATTACCGTAAATATTACTATAAATTGGTACACAAATAAACGTTCACTTGATTTCCAGTATAGAATAGTTTAAAGATCGCGTAATTGAAGTTATCTTCGTTACTTAATACACAATTCTTAAATGCAAAATGATGTGAGGCAATTTACACACGGTAATTTTTTGTATGAATAAATAAAACCGTATGGACAGCAAAAAAAGCAGTCAACTGTTTTGTGCGAGAGACAAAACAGAAATGATGTTTTGAATAAGCGAATTAACGCATACCATTTCAAAGTGTTGTTATTTATTGTTACCAGTTCTTTATGTACTCTTTTTCAATGGGTAATGTGTGCCTCATGCAATGTCACCATTAAACTACTGAAGTACACACTTCAACGCAAAAGCAATTCAAATGATTTTGACTTCGGACATAGTCTAAAATTAGGCGCTAAAAACCATGAGCTTTTTGAATGCTTTATGAAATGCATAATTTAAAGAAACTCGGAAATTATCGCAGTTTGATTGTTCGTAATCGAGTCTGAGGAATTTTTAATGAAGAAAATATTTACGATAACATGCAGAAATTCACAGAGCTATTTTATTGGCACCATAGACATGCGATCTATCACTATTACTCACACTTATTCCATACAATTTTATCAAGTACCGCACCTGAATGAAAGAGCAGCACTTACAAGAGAAGCTACCCTCGCGGTGCTTATAACAGATCTATAAATTCATTTCTTCACTTTAATTGCCAACGAATCAAATTGTAGTGTACGAAATTACATTCTAACCCGAAATTAAGTGACAGAATGAGTAAATCATTGGAATTTTGAAATAATCATGTTTGCCTCAAACCTATATAGCCTCTATTTAAAAAAAAATATTTGAAAATGAAAAATCATAAATTCGAATTAAAACAATTAAATTTAACGAAATCATGAAAAGCTAGTGATTTGCTAGGTGATTTGTTTGATTTCGAATTTCGAATGAAAAGTCTGAAGTTTGACACATCGAATTTCAACTTTCTATTTGGTGTGTGTGTTTTCACATATAATAAAGAGCTAGGGGAAAATGACTCATTGTAAGTTCATAAGTATCTGTAAGTTTCACAAGTTCGCGTAAGTTCTCTTGAGTTCTATATACATTTTTGTAAGTTCGTCCAAGTTTTACGTAAGTTCCTATAGATTACTAGTAAGTTTTTCAACGTCAATTGAAAATCGCAGAATGTTGTAAATGGTAATAAATGTTAGTCATGTTGAATCAGATAAAAAATAATTTGTATAAATAATTCGAGCAGGTTTTCGGTGAAAAAATACCAAGAAATATAAATTCGTCTAATTAAACGTCATTTTTGAAAGAGTCGGTTTTGATAGTGAATAATCAGTAATAAGTATGAGTGTTGAGAGCGATGCTTCAATATCAAAATCAGTTCTTTTAAGGATGATATCCAATTTACTAATTGGATTGGTAATTTTTATTTTAAAATACGTTCTACTTTTTTGTACAAATTATTTGCAGCGTGAGATGTAATTAAAAAAGTTGACCAGCGTTGTGTCATTTGACTACTACATGTGCGACTGTTTCGGCATGTTGACGCATATCGAACTTACAGCAGTGTGTTAATGTATATGGACAAAGCGTAAGTTCCTATAAATTCTCATAAGTGACGTGCGATTTCATAAGTTCGTCTAAGTTTTTGTAAGTTTTTCGTACAATTCTATAGGTTTCGTCGAACTTATAAGTAGTCATTTTCCCCTAGAGAAAGAGCCACATAGGAAGCATGTAGAAGTATAAGGATGCAAATATTCAACAATGTTGAATGACAAATGTACATTCAACGATCAATTTCGATGACTAAGCACACTTTCATGCGGTGACTCAATACTTATGCTTGCTTTCTTGTTGGTGTTTGTTTTGTTCATTAAGACATCTTCTCATTTAGACAAATTTCTATTCAATGTAGCCAATTTTTGCTGTGTATATTTGCAAATATTTACATTCAGCGCGCTGTTTAAACAGAGATAAAAACAAAGCTGATTGTGAATCGATCGCTTGATACTGAATCCGTATCGCATATTGCTCCAAGCCAAGAATTCTTGAAAATCATGAATTGTTTTTTTTTTTTGCCTTCAAACAAAAAAGATAATAAAGTAAGAGAATAAAGATACAAATTGACAGTTTCGCACATTGATTCAGGAAGGAATGCATCTGTTTACTTCATTCGAAAATGCATACAAGCGCAATTTACACATAGACACGAGAAATGCTTGGGACATGTGTATGCGAGTGTATGTCGGAAGACACACTGTTTTGACAGCTTCGGTATCAGGCGGTTTATAATACAACTTAGAAACTTCACATGTGATACATCAAAGAGTCACTTGAGTTGTGGCCATTGAAAGAGAAACAGTCACCGGAGTCACTTTGGCAAAGCCGATCCATAATTTTAAGTTACATCCTATTGCTCTACATTGTCAATCGTGCAACATGAATTGTTTGGTGGTAAAGTTTCGACATCGCTTGCCAAATGACATCAGCAACAAGTACTTGGCCGAAATTTATGTTAAAGGTCCTCAATTCGATATCGATTTGATTGCATCGGATCAAAAAGTCGTTTCGGCGCACAAATACGTTGTGAGCATGTTTTCGATTTACCTGAAGGACTACCTTCGTGAATTCAAACCCAAGGGCAAAGCATGCGGTGAGTACATTTTTTATACTTTTTCTGTAAAAAGACTCAATTTTCATCGCGAACAAAAAAAAAATTTGATGAAAAAATTGGTAAATGTTGATTGTCTTTCTTATATCAATAGTTCCATTGTCCGACATATCGAGTTTTGTGTTGAAGCAAGTGATCGACTTGTTTTACAATGGCCAGATTATGATTGGTGCCGAGGTCAAGCCACACATGATTAAAGCATTGGCTTTCCTAAAAGTAAATGATGTTTGGATTCGAAGTCCGGAACCAGAGGAGCTACCTGCACAATTGAACAAAGGTTTGCACGTTCTATTTTCGATTCAAAAATTATTTTCATCCAAACTAGTTTCTGTCGTTAAGATTGGGCTCCAGACATAGCACCGGTGCGTACAGACTCGCGTAAACAACCGCCGCTAATGCAACAAAACATCAGCCGAAATATGAGCATGAACAACGATCAATGTCAATGGTCTCAACCAGCCAAGCGCGGACGAACTCAATCAGTGTAAGTTTGCTTCGAAGAATATTTTTGCTTGAAAAATGGTGATATTGAATATGAGTTGAGACTTGCAATCGAGTATTGCATACACTAAACAGTTTAACATTACAATTTCAAAAACATTCAGATTCATGGAACGAGATTGTGTGCGAGATTGTGGAATGTTCACGAATCCATCGCCATCAATGGTACAATCCGGTGTCAATCGCATTGGTTCGGTGTCAATCATGAATAACAAAGGTAAATAACTTTTCCGCAAGTCAAGTTTTGATCTAAAATAGCTAGCCAACATCAAGAGGAACAGAGATTTTAATAAATTTCTACTCATTTTCTAAAGCACTGTCATCGAATGTCGGTGTCGGTAGCATTCAACGCCCCATACCTAACCAAATGGCAACGCATCCAAATAAACAACAATCACTACCGAAGAACATGAATATTGTCCAAGGAACAACAATTGGCATTGCATCGACGGGTTCAAAGGTGTCCAAAACAAACGATATGGATCGAGACAGCGATGACATGGACATTGACGACATGAGTCTTTGAATGGCAGTATCATCGCATCCATATTTTATTCTACTTTTTGCATTTTTTCTGATTTCAATCGTAACAAACAGCATGAAAAATACATGAATTCACACTGAATGGATCTTATTGTTATTGATCCAGTTTCAAAACAATTGCTACCTCCCAAACAAACTCAATAAATATTTTGTGTAAACAAAATAAAGAAAACACGGTCGTGTGGAACAATGACTTCTTTAATTTTTCAGTTTTTTTTGCATGAATTTTTAAGCCGTGGCAAACCTAATAGAAAACTGAACACTTCTTATATGAACTTACAGCTGGTTACAGTAACATAAGGAGCCAAATGGTCACTTTTTGATTTTTATGTCACATATGCCGCGTTTGTTGTCCGAGAAATGTAGTTCGATTTCTTCCAGAGAACAATGCTCCGTTTCAGGTAGCACGAGTGCCATCGCAATGAATCTGGAAATTAAGAAAAATTACATTCAACACAACATTTGACGAGATAAAAAATGGAAATCACATTGTACATGTCTCAATCTCCATTTGTAGAACAAACAAGTGCTCTCTTAAAATATGAAATAAAACGGATCTTTATAAAATGAATTTGAAAACCCACCCAAAAACAGCAATGACACCATAGAAACCAATGACTCCCGGTAGCGTAAGCAATCTTTCGAAATCATAATACGTTTTTGTTGCGACAAATGCGAAAAATTGACTTTCAACCATGGCCAATGAACAGCAAAATGCTCGCGACCTAAGATTTTTTTTTTTTTGAAAATTTACATTTCTCTCACACACTAAAGGAACTTATTTGGGGTTTGAAAATTGATGGAATGCTTACTTGAACGGGAAAACTTCACACATAATAATAAAAGGTATCGACGAAACACCAACCGAAATGCAAAATTGCATCAACAAAAACATGGCCAGTGCAAAGTAATTGTAGGTACCAACGGTCTCTTGGATTAATTTCAAACTGGATGAAGTCATGCCAACCGATGTCCAGCCGGCCGGAAATAGGATCCATCCGTATATGCCTGTAATTAAGAAGTTTATATTGGTAATTTGGCGATTTTTTAGAAAGCTGGTAATTATTATCATTTGAAGGAACGGGTATGTGAAGATTCTTGGTGTGAGGAAGTCCTAAATAGGGATGGGTGATTTTTAACGAGTCGAGAAAAGAAAAAAAAAATGAAAAAAATCACAAAAATGTCTCACTCAATCCAAAGCAGCTAATGGCGTTCCCGATCATTGAAAACAGATAAATTTTCCGTTTTCCAAACGTTCGAATTGTGAATACAATAAAAATATTAGCCATAATCCCGATAACACCGAGAATAATCGTTGTGAAACTTGCGTCAAGAAAAATGCCGTGCGCATTCAAGATCGGCAACAAAAACGGTCTCATTGCAAACATTCCCGAGAACTGCATCAACAGAAATAAAATTGTTACAATTAATAGTGGTTTCAATGTTCTCCTTCGGCAGTTGTCTTTCAATTTGTTCAACAGGTTCGGCGGTGGATGATCACATTTGTTGCCTGATTTCTCACAATTTCCACACGACGACGACATTTCACTGATATTTTTCAATTGCTCAAGCTCCGATAAGACATTCTCTTTTGCCACCCATCCTCGTAGCACTTGCAATGACTTTTGTGCTTTTTCAGTGCGATTATTTGAAACCAGAAAAATGGGCGAATCTGGAATCTGTGTAGGAAATTGTACAGAAATTGAAAATGTTCAAATGAAAGTAAAAATCAAAATGGTATATTTACAAAAATAGCCACCAACACATTGAAAATGGGTATAATTGCACAAGCATAAGACACTTGACGCCACGATAGAAACGAACCAAGCAAAAAGATCATCAATATACCAGCAGTGGCCGCGATACCACTGAATGCATTCAGTACACCTGTATTGGGAATTTGAATATGTATTTTGATGGAGTGTCAACGTACTTACATGTCGTCTTAATTACCCCGGACACTTGGTTCACTGTGCGTACGCGGTTGTTTAACACAAATACAAACAAAAAAACAATTGAAAATGGTTTTTTATTTGAAATTGAATTGATTTCACCTTATTTCCGATGAATATATATGTGCCGCACTGATAAGTCCATTCCAAATTCCAAGCAAAGAGAATCCGATGTAAATCATGAACTGTGTATTTGCATTTGGCAACATAATCCATGCAATTGCCGGAATCACATTTACAGTCATAATGGCACCTTTTCTACCCAAAGACTCGGCAATGAAACCAGACGCAAAATTTCCTATCGGCTGCACGATATAGATGATACTCGCTGAAATGTGAGAAAATGTGTTTAAAATGATGATGACTTGTTCTATGAATTGTCAGTTTACCGAGCCAAGATGCTTCGTCCCATGTCATGTGAAGTATTTCATCTGGATTCAAGTGTTTGCTTATGCCAATTACTGATGGCACTACAATGGATGCTATTGCCAACACCATTCCCATGTTCCAATTGATTAGAAAATGGGCGAATCCGCATAAAAACTGTAAATGTAAACGAAAAGCATTAAGAATAGACATTCAGAAGAATTGAAAGCATCCGTCATACAAATAAAATTAAATAAAACACAATCTCTGTCCGAAAGAGCAGGAAACCGAAGGAATTGATTAAAAAAAACAATGGCATTGCATAAAGAAAAAGATTTCAAACACTTTTTTTTTCATAATTTCCGGATGATGACCGATCTGTTATTGGTACCACAGAGGTTCGGCCACTGCTCGCACCTAATCCATATAGCTTTTCAAGTGTATTGTTTTCAGTAAGAAAGAGCGACATTTGCAAGAAAAATGTCCGCACCTAACTGCTCTGTGGCCGATACTTCTTGAAGAAAATTCAAAGTGCCCGCACAAAATAATAAAACAATTAGAACGTACCTGCGGTAAAATTCGACGAAATGCGCTAACTTTGGACGGAGCATTTCCAAAATCGAAAAATAAACCACACGAAAAAATATCCAACAGATTAAACGTCATCGCTTAATATTGGCACTACTAAAACGAAATTGATTTTTCGAAACTTTATTCGAAATAAATTGAACTTCAATGCGAAAATCTCATAAATCAACTTTCCACAAAATTTTAAATATTGAGATTTTGAAGCCAATGTTGAAATGAAAACTGAATAATCACTTTTAGTATCTGCTATCGCCTTTTGGACAGTGCGACAATGACTGAATAAAATTGACAAAGATTCTTACGTTTTATACAAACCATGTCTCGAATGAGAACTAACGCAAAACATCAGAATGCTTATTTGAAATCATAAAATTTATCAGAGCAATTAAAATCCGTAACTCTTTAGTACATGTAATTTGTTGAATCGTTGAAAGAATCAATAGATAAAGTGATAGCAACCGATTTAAATGCAAAGTAATTAAACCAATCTCAAGTTTTTATGAATTTGAATTGAAGTTCTGGGTTATGTTAATTGGATTGCGGTGTAACCTACTTATTTTTAACGAAATGGATTTTACTTTGTAACTGTGCAAAATTCATAAATGAAAGTACTGAAGAAATAATGGCAAACATTTTATCTTTTCTCAACTTTTTAAGGAAAACTGGGAATGAGGTCTCAAACACCACGGAATATTGAAATGGCACGAAGCCAAAGCACGACGATAATGACAGCTCGGCAACGCTCTATTAGAGATTAGTACCGCTGGCAACCGCAGAACTATATAGAATCATATGGAGTCATTTGGTGGCGCTGGCAAGCAATTTTGCCTTATCGTCATGCTTTGCACGAAGCCAATTGGCTATAGTTAACTTTCACTATTAGGAGATTCCACTGTTGGTAGGTTGTACTGTGTTAATCGGCTTCAATTCTTTGCTTTCGATGATGATTCGTTTAATAACGATTTTCAAAAACCTATATAGATTATTTCACAAGAATTTATTTTCCAATCTGAGGTTTTCAATCACAGTTTCAATTTTTTAACCGGCCAACATTTGAAATTCAATTAAATATCCAATAGGTATTCAATAACTGAATTTTATAACAAAACGATGCTCACATATTATTCTCACTCGATTG